CCAGTCCTAAGGTCTGCCTTCCTCCAAACTTCTCATGGGCCCCAAGAAATTGGGAGATTTGGGGATCTCCCTGATAATCATAATAGTGAAATAATTAGTCTTTCTAAATCTGACTAGCAGTCTGCTGCACACCTTAGACTTATGTAGCCTCATATGTGTTATCCTTCCCATCCTCAGGGACCCAGTGATTCTAGTATCCATTAATTCATCACCTTATCCCAAGTGGTACCTCCTCAGAAACACAGTATGAATTCTTAACCAGAATCAGAATCCTTCCTATGCCACCTCTTCTCACATCAAGTTGGTCTTTAACCCAAAAATATCCCAAGTTGACCATCCAACCTCTTCCTCAGGTCTGTGCCTTTGGATAGAATTCTTTTATGGCCGTAGCATAGTATTTACCATCTATTATTTAACATTTTTCTCAGCCTTGACCCGCAGTTTCCTTTCGTTTCCATGACCAGCGTTTCCTATACCCCCAAATCATTGTTTCACAACTGTATTTCACAAAAGTCAGTTCATCTCAAAAGTATCCCATCAGATTCTCCACTTAACATCTGACAAACTTGTCTGATCAAGTTATTCAAAATTCCAGCTCTTCTTAGTTCCTCTTATATTTCTCATTGACTGTCCATGGACTAGTCAAATCATCATGTTGATGAATAAATCTCTAGAAATTAGTGGGCACCCCACTCTCAAGGACCCATGATCTAGGCACTGCATAAAGATCTCCAGTTTTTTTTCCCTAAATAAACTCTATAGCATTTAGATGCAACTGCCCTCCTCCTAATTTCTTTATTTCTATAAAGACACTACCATTCTTCTAGTCACCGCAATCAATTTTCACTTGAACTTTTACAGTAGCCTCATAGTTGATCTCCCTGAATCCATCTCTACCCTTTTTAAACCAGTCTTCACAAAGCTACCAAGTTGATATTTCCAAAAGTTCAGGTCAGACCATGTCTCTCCAACCCCCACCTCCACCCCCACCTTTGCTCCCCTGCTCAAGAAACTTCAATAGCTCCTCATTGCCTTTAGGATAAAATACAGACTCCTCTGTCTGATATTTGATGCCCTTCCGTTTGTCTCCAGCTTATTGTTCAGACTGATTACTCTCCATATTTCAGCCAAGCTGAACCATGTGCATAGAATTCTATATCCTGTCTTAGTAAATTTCTATGGATTATTCCTCATTTCCAGAATTATACCCCTCTCTACCTCTACCTTTTTTCAATTCTCATCTTTCTTGACCTCTCTGCAGAATTTGATACTGTTGACTACCATCTCCTCTTAGATACTTTCACCTCTGTGGTTCATAGCACAATTCTCTTGATTCTCCTCCTACCTATCCTTCTTGGTCTCCTTTAATTGGATCATCATCCTTTGACTGTGGGGGGAATCTGAAAATCCTTTTTACTGTCTCTGCGCACTTACTGGTTTCACTAGTTCCTGTGGACTCAATGAGCAGTTCTAAAATGAGTCCCAGATCTAAGATACAGCCCTAATCTCTCTCTTGAGTTTCAATCCTACTTTAGTTCCATTCTTGTCTATTAGACTTTTCAAACTGCTTGTAGCAACACCATCTCTAACTCAATGTCTTCAAATCGAAATGTCAAATTCATATCCAATTTCTACCCATCTAAACCCACTCCTCTTCTGAGCTTCCTAATTTCTGTCAAGGGAACTTTTCAATCAAGGATACCTGTCAGGGGCATCCTACCAGTCACAAATCAGTTAGTTCACATTTTAGGAGTCATCCTCAACATTTCACTTTCACTATTTCCATATATTTAGTCAGTTGCCATATCTTGCCAATTCTACCTTAACAACACCTTTCACACTTTTCTGCTTCTCACTCATATAGTCTAGTTCAGGCCTTCATCACCTCTCATTTGGACTAATAGCCTCCTAATTAGTCTCCCTGCCTTCATTTTCCAGTCTATCTCTTTTATAGCTGTCAAAATGGAATTTCTAAAGTACACATCTAAATTGATACAAATTTTGTTTGATGCAACACATACTTCACAGTAAACACCCAAATAACATCCACTACAAAGTAAATTCCCTGAAAACAATCAGTTGTTAACAGAAAGGTTGTGCACTTTAACTCTGATAGGTCCAATATTAATATTTGATCATAATTTAGTCATCTCAATATTGATTTTATATTGCCTTAAAGGTATTTATTGTTCTTTTCTTTCTTAACTTTAGTCGTTTCATATAAATTTACTGGTTTTTAAATTTTTTTCATATTCCTTTTTCATATTCCTTTAAAATACATTAATATTCTATTACATTCATTTTGGCCAGTCATTCCCCAGTTGTTGGACAGATATTTTTTTTCCAGCATTTTGTTTTTTACAGATAATACTCTTATGAATAATCTGTTTTTTTATAAATCATGGAAATAACACCTTATCTGAGAAACTTGCTATAAAGATTTTCCCCCCACTTAACTGTTTCCCTTCTAATTTTAGCTACATTGGATTTGTTTATGCCAAACCTTTCAAATATCAAAACTGTCCTTTTTATTTTTGTGATCCTTTCTATCTCTTATTGGGTTATGAACTCTTCCTCTATTTACAGATCTGAAAGGTAATTTCATCCTTGATTTTCTAATTTGTTTATGATGTGGCCAGAATTTTATATCTAATCCTATATCCATTGGGTATGCCAATATCATGATATGTGGTGTGAAGTGTTGGTCTAAACCTGATTTCTACCAGACTGCTTTTCAGTTTTTCCCGTTTTTCTCCATTAGCTGGGATCTTTGGTGTTTCCAAATACTGGGCTACTGGGTTCATTTGCTTTTATATTTTGTGTATCTATTTGTTCCACTGAATAACTTACCTATTTTTTAATCAGTACCAAATTGTTTTGATGACTGTTGCTTTGTAGTATATTTTCAGGAGTGATACCTTTCTACTTTTTTTCATCATGTCTCTTGAGATACTTGACTTTTTTTTTCCTCCAGATGAATTTCATGATTACTTTTTCTAGTTCTATAAAGTCATCCTTTTGTAGTTTGCTCATTATCTTTTCCCCCCAAACTTTCCCCCTCTTCCTAACTTCCCTATTACCATTAAGGGTACCACCATCCTTCTAGTCACCCAGGCTCACAACCTAAGGAGTCATCTTCGACTCCTTACTCTCATGCACTCCTCACATTCAATCATTTGCCAAATCCTGTCATGTCTACCTTTGTGGTAGCTGTCGTACTTGCCCCCCTTCTTTCCCTTAACATTGCCACCACCCTAGTGCAGGCTCTCATAGTCTCACCCCTGGATTATTACAATTGCCTCAGGTCTCTTCCCCACTCCAGTCCTTCCTTCACTCAGCTATAAAAGTGGCCTTCCTGAAGCACAGGTCTGATATGCTACTGATATGTTATTGAATAAATTCTAGTGGCTCTCTGTTATCTCCAGGATCAAATATAACATTTTCTATTTGGCTTTTAAAGCTCTTCGTAATCTTTTCCAGACTTCTTGTACCTTACTCCCTCTCCCCTCCCCACCAACGGCTCTGAGACCTAGTGATGCTGGCCTCCGTGCTGACGCTCTGGGCAGCTTCACTGGCTGTCTGTCCTCATACCTGCAAGTGTCTCCCTCCTCATCTCAACTTCCTGGCTTTCCTGGCTTCCCTGGCTTCCGTGGCTTCCCTGGCTTCCTCACGTCTCACCTAAAATCCCACCTGCAAGTTATCTTTTCTAGTCCTCCTTCATTTTAGTGCTTTCCCTCTGAGAGGGTGGTCTCTAGTTTATCGTGTAGGTGTTTTGTTTGTACATAGTTGTTTTGCTAGTTGTCTTCCCTCACTGGACTGTGAGTTCCTTTGGAGCAGAGACTCATTTTTGTTTCTTGCCTTTCTTAATGCTTAGCATGGTACCTGTAACATAATAGACCCTTAATAAATAAATGCTTGTTGACTTCATTGCCATTGACTTGACTTAATAAGTGAATTAATTTAGGTAATATTGTAATTTTAATTATAATATGATTGTCCTACCCATGAGCAACTAACATTTCTCCAGATATTTTCATCTGTATTTCTGTAAAGCATATTTTATAATTAAATTTATGTAGTTCCTATATGTGTCTTGGTAGGTAGACTCCCAAGTATTTTATACATTCTATGGTTATTGTATATAGAATTTGTCTTGTTGGTAATGTATAGATATGCTGATGATTTATGTGAATTTATTTAATGTCCTGTGACTTTGCTTAAATTATTGTTTGTTTCAATTAATTTTAGTAGACTCTCTAGGGTTCTCTAAGTTATGGGATCACTAAAAAAAAGTAATAATGTTATTTCTTCTTTGCTTATGCTGTTCCTTGAATTTCTTGTCATAATGTCATAACATTTTTAGCACTATATTAAATAGTTGTGGTGATAATGGACATCTTTGCTTTATCCCTGATTTAGGACTCTAGTTTATCCACATTAAATATAATGCTGGCTCTTGGTTTTAGATATATACTACTTACAATGTTAAGGAAAGGTTCATTGAATTCTTACATTTTCATTAAATTTTAATGTTTTTAATAGAAATATATGTTGTATCTTGTCAAAAGCTTTTTATGTATGTATATGTTGATATTATCATATGTGATTTTTGTTACTCCTTTTATTATGTTTTAAAACTGTTTTGATAAGAAAATTGAAAAGTCTAGAACTCTAGAACACAATGCTGTAAAGCAGGAGTTCTTAACCTGGATCTGTGAACCTGCATTTAAAAAAATTTTTGATAATTGACTTTCAATGTAATTGATTTCCTTTGTAATCTTATGTGTTTTATTGTTTTCTGCATTTATAAACATTATTCTGAGAAGGGATCCATAGGTTTCACTAGACTACAAAGGTGAGGTGGAGGAGGGTTGCTTAAAAAAAGACTTTAAAGGGCTATTGGCTGTACTCTGATAGAGCAACGAGGTCAAGTGCAAAGACTTTGTATAATTCAACTATAACTTGTATTAATGACCTTCCTTTCTTTTATATTCTCTTAGAGTTAGTCATGCTTCTGGAATGGTGGTCAGGCACAGAATGTACTTTATTCACAGATCAGGAAACAGTGGACAAGTTTGGAAAAGAGCACGTGGTCATCATCCTTAATCATAACTTTGAAATTGACTTCCTGTGTGGCTGGACCATGTGTGAACGATTTGGTGTATTGGGGGTGAGTAGCTTGAAAATTGAACCAGGAAAAGATGTTTCAAAAATAATTTAATTAAAATGAGCAGTAAGTAAAATGTCTGGTTCTGAGAAGTCCTCAGAATTGTATAGGTTTTCTCCTTTAATGCTTATTTCACTCTTTCTCAGAAGATAGAAAGCAAGCATATGATTGATAATAATAGCTAGCATTTATATAGCACTTTTAGGTTTGCAAAGCACTTTACATATGTTAAATGCTTTACATTTGACTCTCACAACAACTTGTGAGGTAAGTACTTTTATTTTTCCCATTTTCTAGAGGGGGAAACTGAGTTTGAGAGAGATTAAGTGGATTGCCCAGCTAGTAAGTGCTGAGTAAGTTACACAGCTAGTAAATGTTTGAGGTAGAATTTGAACTCAGATCTTCCAAACTTTATTTTTTTTCCTTCAATTTTTCTTTTTTTTTTGGCTAGGCAGTAGGGTTAAGTGACTTGTCCAGGGTCACACAGCTCGTAAGTGTTATGTGTCTGAGACCAGATTTGAACTCTGGGCCTTCTGACTCCAAGGCTGGTGCTCTATCCACTGTGCCATCTAGCTGCACCCCCTCCAGACTTTAAATCTGTTACTCTGTCCACCTAGCTGCATAGCTGCCTCTCCATTGAATTGAACGCATCATTGTTCTAAGAATATTTTAGGTTTTCTTTTTTAATATTTATTCCCTTCATTCCCAAAAGATAGGAAGCAGACATATATTATTGAATTGAATGTAGTATTAACTACAGTAACTTTCATGATACTGTACTAAGCACTGGGAATACAAAAAAGAGGCGAAAGACAGTCCCTGCCCTCAAGGAGTTTACAGTCTAATGGGAGAGGCAACATGCAAATAAATATATACAAAATAATGAACAGAGGGACTATACTGGAATTAAGAGGAGTTGGAAAAAGCTTCCTGTAAAAGTTGGATTTGGAGGTGGGGGCTGCTTGAAAGAAGCCAGGGAGATCAGTAGTCAGAGTAGAGGAGAGAGAGCATTCCAGGCATGCGGTACAGCCAGAGAGAATGCCTAGAGCTGAGAGATGGAGTGTCTTGTTTGTGGAATAGCTGGGAGGCCAGTGTCACTGGATGGAAGAGTATGTGATGGGGAGTAAGGTATAACAAGACTGGAAAGGTAGGAGAGGGCTAGGTTATGAAGAACTTTGAGTGCCAAACAGAGCGTTTTGTATTTGCTCCTGGAGGTAATAGGAGGCCACTAGGGTTTATTAAGTATGGGCGGGTGGGTGACTTGATCAGACTTGTGCTTAGGAAAATCACTTTGATGGCTGAATAGCTTTGGTAGCTGAATGGAAGATGAATTGAAGTGGGGAGAGACTTGAGGCAGGCAGACCAAACAGGTATGATAAGGGCCTGTGCTAGAATGGTGGAAAGAAGGGGGCGTATTTGAGAGGTGTTGCAAATGTGAAATCAACAAGCCTTGGCAACAACTTGGCTCTTTGGTTCTTAGGGTGTACCATTAATAGTAATGCTTCTTTATTGTCACTTCAATTGATAAAACCATATCCATTTCTAGTACTGAAGCCATTTAAAAGTGCCAGGGACTTTAGTGGCAAGAAATTTTTTGGGTCTTCAGTAGCTGCGGCTGCAGCTCCTGAAGAGAGAGTTGCCAGGTCAGATCTCTACAGGGGTCACTCCCCCGGATAATGGCTGCAGGCCAGGCTTAGAAGTAAGGCTTTGGGTGGAAGAGATGGCAGGGAAACCTCTCCTGTTCCTGTTGCTCATGAACCCAGGGTCCTGGGCAAGTCACTTAACCTCTGTTTGCTTTAGTTTCCTCAACTGTAAAAAATGGGGATAATAACAACACCTACCTGCAAAGTTGTTGTGGGGTCAAATGAGATAATATTTGTAAAGCACTTAGCACAGTGCCTGGCATATGATAAGCACCATATAAATGCTTATTCCTTTCCCTGAGCTGCCTCCATCAATATCTGAGGGGAGGTGGAGGTCAAGGTGGTACTTGGCAACTCCTGTCTCTCTCTCTCTCTCTCAGGGTACATTGCACCTTCAAAAAGTGAAGGTACCATACATTTAATGTATGCAAATCAGCCAGCTCACACAGATGCCATTCAAGTTTGTGATTAGAATTGGGCCAGTTGGCTAGAGTCAGATTATACAGAGCCTTGAAACTATAGAATTCAGATATTGTTTGGTAGGCAATGAAGATTAAGTAATGGCTTATGAACAGTGGAATGATTGCTAACTTCCCAGAATGAGAAGATTTGTATATTAGGAATATCCCTCTGATAACAGCACATAGGATAGATTAGCTAGAAGGAGATCCTGGAGGCAGAAAGAATGGGTATCATAACAGTATTCCAGACAAGAGATATTGAGATGTGGAATAGTGTGGTGGCAGTTGGATGAACAATGATGAAAAACATGGTGGAAGTAAAACTGGCAGGACTTGGCACATGATTAGATATTGACAGAAAGGTAAGAATAAAAAATGACATGGATGACATTGTGTTAACCATTAAAGGAAATAGAGAAGGCAAGAAGAGGAATGTGTGTCTGGGGGAAAATAAGTTGCTTTGGGCATATTAGAGGTTTCAGTGGGAGATCTAGATTGCAAGTCTTAGGTTGGGTCTGGAGGTACAGACTTTGGAGTCATCTTCCGTAGCTTAAGGTATAGAAGGAAGGAGAGAAAAAAGGAAGAAATCAACCCATTATTTCCAAGGTACTCTTCTAAGTGCTTTACAAAAATTATCTTATTTGATCCTCACAACAACAGCAGTAGGTGCTATTATTATCCTGACTTGACAGTTGAGGAAACTGAGACAGGTCAAGTAATAATAGGTTAAGTGACTTGCCCAGGGCCACATAACTAGTAAATGTCTAAGGCTTGATTTGAACTCAGGTCCATTTTACTCCAGAACCAGTTCTCTATCCACTGTGCCCCCTAGCTGCCTCTGTGGATTGGCTTGTCAAGGGAAAGAATATTGAAAAAGAAAATAAGGTAGAGGGTAGGAAAAAATATCAGCTCACTAAGTAGTCAGACAAGTAGAAGAGCTAGGAAGGAGAATAAAATATAATAGAATTGAGACGACTAGAGAGCATCCGGAAAGATGATGTCGTATGTTGCAAAGAGGGCAAGGAGGATGAGAACGGAGGAGGGGCTGTTGGGTTTGTCACTCCAGAAGTCACCAGAAATCCTTAGAGAGAGCAGTTTCAATGAAGTGGTGGTAATGGAAGCCAAATTGCAAGTGATGAGGAGGTGTGCTTATTCAGCAAACACAAACTGCTTCAGAGCAACTTTTGTTCTGAAACAAAGAAGATGGATTGGTTAGCTTGAAGGGGGAGAAGAACTGAAAGAGAGTTATTTTAGGATGGAAGGAACAAATGTATACATAAGAAGGGAAGGAGCTAGAATAGAGGAAGAAATTGAAAATGTAAGAAAATGAATAATTGATTGTCACAGGGATCAGGGTAATTAAAATGTGTAATTCCTCAAATAGGGTAGCGAGGTGACACAATGGATAGAGCACCAGGCCTGAAGTCCGGAAAACCTGAGTTCAAATTCAGCCTTAAACACTTACTAGCTGTTTGACCCTGGGCAAATCACTTAACTCTGTTTGCCTCAGTTTCCTCATCTGTAAAATGAGCTGGAGAAGGAAGTGGCAAACCCCTCCAGTATCCTGCCAAGTAATCCCCAAATGGGGTCACAAAGAATCAGATACAACTCAAAATGACTGAAAAGTTCTACAGATAAACCAGGATCTGTGGAACAGGGAAGAAAGTAACTTTTAATGATAGACAATAGTTAGTTATTAAAAGATACAGGTGAAAAAGGACTATTCCCCCAGCTTCATCAAAAGGAAGCTCAGTACACAAAGAAAAAAATTCAACTCAATTCAACAAGCATTTATTAAAAGCCAATTATAGGGGCAGCTAGGTGGCGCAGTAGATAGAGTTCTGGCCTTGGAGTCAGGAGGACCTGAGTTCAAATATGACCTCAGACACTTGAAACTTACTAGCTGTATGACACTGGGCAAGTCACTTAACCCCGATTGCCTCACCCAAAAAAAATAAATAAATAAAAGCCTATTATATACAAAACACTGTACTAGTCCTTGGGGTAGAAAGTTAAAAAATGGAAACACTGCCTGCCTTTAAGGTTCTGGCAAAGTTTGTTGGAATTTATCACCAGTAATCCAATCTCTTATCACATAGACTTTAACAGTAGTCTTCTAATTGATTTTCTTTCTTGAAGTCTCTTACCACTCCAATCATTTATCTACCAGTGATTTATTTGACATGTAGATTTGACCATATTACTCCCCTGCTCAATGCAAGTCATGAGTCCCTATTACCTCCAGGATCAGGTATAAAGTCCTGTTTATCATGTTATCCTCTTTAGAGCCCGACTTTGTCCTTTTCCATTCTTCTTATACTTTACAACCCTCCCCATATGCTACAATCCAGCTTCATTGCCCTACTTACTGTTCATTTTAGATAACAATTCATCTCCCACCTCCATGCCTTTTCAGAATGCTTTCCTTCCTCACCTTGATCTCTTAGTTTCCCTGGCTTCCTTTAAAAATCAACTCAAAGCTCATCTTCTTCAGGAGGCCTTTTCTTGTTCCTCCAGCTATTAGTTCCTTTCCTTCTGAGATTACCTTCCATCTACTCTGTATATGTCTTATATTTGTTGTTCAGTCATTTTCAGTAGTGTCCAACTCTTCATGACCCCATTTATGGTTTTCTTGGCAGATATTGGCATGGTTTGCCATTTTCTTCTCCAGCTCATTTAACAGATGGGGAAACTGAGGCCAACAGGGTTAAGTCACATAGCTAGTAAGTGTCTGAGGCCAGATTTGAACCCCACAAAGATTAGTCTTCCAGACTTCAGATCCAATACTCTATCCATTATGCCACCTAACTGCCTAGTCATTTTCTTATATATATATATCTATATATAGATATATAGATATATACACACACACACACACATATATATATATATACCTACTCATTTTCATTGTTTTCTTCCCCATTAGAATGTGAGCTTCCTAAGAGGAGTGACTGTTTTTGTCTTTTGTATCCTCAGAACTTAGCACAGTGCCTAGGATATAGTAAGTGCTTAATAAATACTTTTTTTTTGACAAAATGTGGGAATCATATGGGTGCTCCCAGTCTGTCAATTAATTTAAACCATACCTATGTGCACCAAACATAGGTGCCTCTGTGTGGTTCCCCAGGTACGTTGATGGAACAGCATCTTGGAGCAAAGTAGTAAGGTGTGGAATCAAAGACATAGGTGAAGGAGTTAGCCTTGACGAGGAGAAGAACCACCTCTTTTCCAAGATGGAAGGAAAGGGAAAGAAAATGACTGAAAATACATAGCATTTTTGAAGTGCAGAGGAGGGAAAGTTGAGGGACATTACATATTACATTAATGGTCCTGATCTTGATAAAATAGAAGGTGCCCATCTGTGGTTAGGTGGACATTTGAGAAGGGAGAAGGGTGGATATCTTGGCAGATGATATGCTGGCAAAAGAATGTGTGTGGTCCCTTGGAATTTGTTGTCATAGAATTTAGTCTATACCTTCTGTCGTCCTTGTCCTTCTTTCCACTTCACAGTTGACATTTGACACAAATCTGAAATATTACCACTTTGTATTACAAGGTTATTTCTAAACTTAAAGTCTACTTCATAGGTCCCCAAACTCTTTGTGAGAAAGAAGCTATTTTTTTATTTCTCCAGAGTCTTGAGTTTACTCTGTCAGGTTAGGGACTCTGGAACTGATGGACTTGGTTGATGATGGTGATATCTTTGGAAAGTTCGGTAGCAGATTGATTGCAAGAGAAGAAGGTGGATAGCAGTCTTTAACCACAACTCCCATTACTCCTAGGAATTCAGCCAAGCTACACAAGGGTCATGGTGGCAGCCTATTGCCTTGCCAGTCAAGTAACGTTGTCAGGTTACAGTTAACTACCAAATGGTCAATCATGGTCTACAGGGTGATGAACCATGTCCTGAAACAGATTCTTAGACTTTTTTTTTTATGTCATGGATCCCTTAGTAGTCTGGTGAACCAAATGGACTCCTCAGAAAAATGTTTTCAAAATTATAAATTCAAAGATATAGAATTATAATTACAATTCTATTGAAATTCAGTTATAAAAATATTTTTAAAACAAATTCACAGAACCCCGGTTAAGAACTCTTGCTCTAAAGCGGGCCTGCTGCACAACTTATAGCCTGTGGTCTGCTTGCAGAAAATGTAGGGGAAAACATCCTTTGTATGTAGAGGAAATCCTCTGGCCTGTTGCAAGTGCCTGTGGACTGCAGGTTGTGCAGGCCTGCCCTAAAGGGACGCCTGTTCAGACAATGTAGTGGTGTCTTCATTTTGCAGGTGAAGAAAATGAGACATGAAAGAAATGATTTCTTTTTTTTTTTTTGGCTAGGTAATGGGGGTTAAGTGACTTGCCCAGGGACACACAGCTAGTAAGTCTGAGGCTGGATTTGAACTCAGGTCCTCCTGAATCCAGGGCCGGTGCTCTCTCCACTGAGCCACCTAGCTGCCCCCAAGAAATAATTTCTTGCCTGATATTGTAAGCAAATTATTAGAGAAACTAGCATGGCAATAAAAGTCTTCTGATTCCAGTTCAAGCATTCTGTACTCTAGACAAACCTACCTGATCTCAACATTGAAATTTTTTTTTTACTTTGCTCATGCATATACATTTTTCTTCTTTTCTGTCTCTAGAGCTCTAAAGTCCTGGCTAAGAAAGAACTTCTGTATGTGCCCCTTATTGGCTGGACGTGGTACTTTCTCGAGATTGTATTCTGCAAAAGAAAGTGGGAGGAAGACAGGGACACTGTTATTGAAGGATTAAAACGTTTGTCTGACTATCCTGAGTACATGTGGGTAAGTGCTTGCAGGGTTCACAATTCCACGTCAGCTAGTTGCTAGATGAGGGGGACATTTTTTTAGTTAGAAAACAGGGTCTTATAATAATTTGTGTTAAAGTTTAATATTTTAGCTTTTACATGTGGTAGAAGTAATCTATAAATTTAAAAGCAAATTTATGAGAGTATAACTTCATTACATAGTCATATAAAATTAATTGTTATTCAGTATTCTATAACAAATACAAAAACCCTACTGCAAATGAAAAGGTAAACTATGTTTTCAGACACATCATAAAAGGTAATCACATATCTGTGGTAAGCAGAATTAAAGCCCATCCCAATTGTGGGGGGAAAAAAACAGTTCTTTGCCTTTTATTTTATTTAAAGTTTTTGAAAACTATAAGATTTCAAAGTTTAAAGAGTAAAAACTAAACAAGAACCTTCTAAACATCTCACTAAAAAAAAAAAAAGGTCTTGTGTAACTTTGGGCAATGCTTTTCAACTATTAGGGTATCAAATCAGCAAACTACCATTGGCCCATGCTTTTCCTGCTTAGCTTGTGCCCTGAATTTGGTGCAGAGCTAGCCCTTGGGCTGCATGTGGCAGGACAGGAGGGGGAAAAAACATTCCTCTTCCTCAGAGAGGGAAAATGCTTCCTCTTGAACCTTTGTCTTGCCAGCCCAGTTCTGGAGGCATTAGCAGTAAGAAAATGGATAACCTAAAGTGTTTTATTTTGTGGAATTTTTTTTTAATCTCTTCAGAAAGTTAGTTGATCAACGTCACCAACCAAGTGGCCCAGCTAAGATTATTCTTCACAGATAACTTATCTTTTTAATGGCTTTATTATTAGAAAGGAAAAAATAAATTTTCCTCTCTACATAGAGGTCACATATCACCTGTACTTCGCACTGCACCTTCTGTAGTCCCCATCCTTCTTTCCACTTTACAGTTGACATTTGACATAAATCTGAAATATTACCACGTTGTATTACAAGGTTATTTCTAAACTTAGGTGATTTTTAGCATCCCTTTTGAAAAGTCCGTTGTGGAAGGAGATTGACTAAAAGTAGTTTGGGAGAATCATTTGTGGACATCAGTAATCTATACCCTATCTAATGTGGTATGAATACCCTGGCTAGTCAAAAAAATGAACTGGATGTCTCTTAAAGCCTCAGATTTAACTATGGCTTTTCTAAGTCTGGTCCTGTTGCTAACCAGTAGAATACTTTTTTATTCCACTTACATAACTAGGAAAAAAAAGTTCCTTTCCAAAGAGATATGTGGAAGTTTCATAAATTTTGAGCTAAAAACCTTTTAGAAACAACCTAGTCCAAACTCCTGATTTTACTATAGTAATTCAGGCTTTCATCCACTCTCTTTAAGACTATTGCAATAACCTCCTAATTGGTCTTGGCCCTTTCCAATTCATTCTACACTCAGCTGCCAGAATAACCTTCCAGACCCTCAAATCAGACCCCATCACCCTCCTGCCTGAAAATTCTGAAGGCTTGCTATTGCTTTGAGGATGAAACACAGACTCCTCAGCTGTTTGTCATGATATTCTCCTTCACAAATTGTACTCTGCAGCCAAACTCCTGTTAGCCGCTCCTGAACACCGCATTCCATCCGTGCATTTGCACAGGCCATTCCTCCATACCACGAGTGTTCCCTTTCTTTTTCCCTGCCTCTCAGAATCCTTGACTTTGTTCAAGGCAAAGCTTAGGTGATATATCCTCATTTCCTGATCTTCCCCTGTCCCAAGTTATGCTCTCTCTCTCTCTCTCTCTCTCTCTCTCTCTCTCTCTCTCTCTGTCTCTCTCTCTCTCTCTCTCTCTCTCTCTCTCACTGTACCTTATGTATTGCTTACTTGTGTAAATGTTGTACCCTCTTCTCCCTACCCCAAAGAAAACATAAGCTCCTTTAAGGTAGGGGCTGCTTTATTTTTAATTTTGTATCCTTAGTATCTAACATAGCACTGTATATGTGATAGGTGCTCAATAAATATCAGTTGAATTGAATTGAGTTGAAATAGAAGAAATTATTGGATAGAAATATATAAAGCACATCTGTCTATAAGACCAACAATATATGATCCCCAACAGAGTAATGATCAAAGGACAAGAACAGTTTTTGGGTTTTTTTATTTTTTTTTTTTGGTGAGGCAGTTGGGGTTAAGTGACTTGCCCAGGGTCACATAGCTAGTGATTGTTATGTGTCTGAGGTCAGATTTGAACTCAGGTCCTCCTGACTCCAGGCCCCGTGCTTTATCCACTGCACCACCTAACTGCCCCATAAGAACAGTTTTTGGAAGAGGAAAAATAAAATGATAGTTTTCTAATAATTTTAGATACATTTCTAAGTTTTCTAATAATTTAGATAAGTTTCTAATAAATTTTTTAAAAATTAATTTATTTTGATTTATCAACCATCACTTCCATAAACTTTGAATTTTAAATTTTTCTCCCCCTCCCTCCCCAAGACGGCACACCATCTGATATAGGCTATTCATATACATTCCTATTAAACATATTTTCACATTAGTGATGTTGTAAGTAAGAATTAGAACCAATTGGAGGAACCATCAGAAAGAGGAAACAAAACACAACAGAAGAAAAAAAATTAGCAAATAGTGCGCTTTGATCTGCATTCAGATTCCATAGTTCTTTCTTTGGATGTGAATAGCATTTTCCATCATGAGGCCTTTGGAGATGTATTAGATCCTTGTATTGCTGAGAAGGGTTAAGTCTATCCATATTAGTCATCGCACAACGTGGCTGTTACTGTGTACAACGTTCTTCTGGTTCTGCTCACTTCACTCAGCATCAGTCCATACGAGTTTTTCCAGGTTTTTCTGAGAGCATCCTGCTCATCATTTCTTATAGCACAATAGTATTCCATTACATTGATATTATACCACAACTTGCTCAGCCATTCCCCAATTGATGGGCATCCCCTCAATTTCCAATTCTTTGCCACCACAAAAAGAGCTGCTATGAATATTTTTATACATGTGGGTCCTTTTCCCATTTGTATGATCTCTTTGGGATATAGCCCTAGAAGTGGTATTGTTGGGTCAAAGGGTATGCACATTTTTATAGCCCTTTTGGCATAGTTCCAAATTGCTCTCCAAAATGGTTGGATCGTTTCACAACTCCAGCAACAATGCATTAGTGTTCCAGTTTTCCCACATCTTCTCTAACATTTATCATTTTCCTGTTTTGTCATGTTAGCCAATCTGATGGGTGTGATGTGGTACCTCAGAGTTGTTTTGATTTGCATTTCTCTAATCAATAGTGATTTAGAGCATTTTTTCATATGACTATAGATGGCTTTAATTTCTTCCTCTGAGAACTGCCTGTTCATATCTTTTGACCATTTGTCAGTTGGGGATCTAATAATTTTTAAAAATCAAATTAGGAAGACTCTGTGTAAGAAAAGTTATTTTCTGAGATGTATTTACTGGGTTTCTGTTTTGTATTCTCTGTCCTAGTTTCTCTTGTATTGTGAAGGAACTCGATTTACAGAGACAAAGCATCGAATTAGTATGGAAGTGGCTGAATCTAAGGGATTACCCAAACTCAAATATCATTTGTTGCCCAGAACCAAAGGCTTTACCACTGCAGTCCAGTGTCTCAGGGGAACAGGTAAGGACAAGTTCCTGTTGGCTGATTTCCTCAGGTTACACAGGGTTTTCAGGCTTGCCCTTCCCAGATGATCACTAAGCAACAGTGCCATTTCTTTGCCAGACTTCGGGATTGGGGTTAGGTGTGGTGACTATGTTAGTAGAGGGAGCTCCCAGTGAAGAACTCCCTCTATCAAAACAGGTCTGCACCTTCTGAGTAGCTTAGAGTCTTAGAGGGACCTGCCAGGAGCACTGGCAAGTCAGGGGACCTGCCCAGCGTCTCACAGTCAGCACGTCAGAGGCAGGAGTGGAACCCACGTCTTCCCGACTCCAGTGATTGTTCTCTGTTCACTTTGCCATGCTGCCTGTCAGGCATCAGGGTTAACATGAAATAATTTGTGTGGAAAAAAGTCTTAATCATATTTAAAAAAGAAAAAAAAACATGACGAATAGGTGTGGATTAAGTGTTTGGATTTGTTTGTTTTACTTTTGACTTTCTGTAGTGTTATTTAAGGTTTGTTTAAGGGTGAAAGCCAGTGTCCTGGCTGACCTGCAGCAAATTTACTTGATCCTTCTTTCTAACTACAGTTGCAGCAGTCTATGATGTAACACTCAATTTCAGAGGGAACAAGAATCCATCATTACTAGGGATCCTTTATGGAAAGAAGTATGAAGCAGATATGTGCGTGAGGTGAGCGAGATGTGGGCGTGAGTGGCTGCAGGCTTGCAGGCTGATGAGTATTCCCTCCCACCACACCTGTCCTTCCATTCCCTCTTCCATTTCTCTTGGAGCTTCTGCTCCTATATCCACGCTGTCAAGATTAATACCAGCCTCGAGACTTTGTCAGTGGCTAGATGCAAATGAAAAAAGTAGGGACTGAAAAAGAGTCATGCAGAAAAATGCTGAGGTGGACAGCATTTCTCCAGCAATCTCTTTATTGACCAAACTGGAAAGCTGGTGTGTGTGTCTCCTCCATTCTGTAGGAGCTTTAGCCTGTCTCTCTGTCATCCCTTGTACTTTCTGCTGCCCAAATGTCCCTCATTTTCGAATTCCCCCTATATATGTGTCTGCCGTTTGATCTTCTAATCCCTCTCACACAATTAAACCAGCCCTCTTTCCTGGCATCTGTGTAGATCCCTAATTTCCTCCCTTCCCTCAGTTTACTTCCTCTTCTGCCTCACACCAAGAGATCCCTTATAACATTTACTTCCTATACTCACACTCTGGGAAAGCAGAAACATAAGACAAAGAAAGAGAAATTCTCTGACCTTAATAATTCTCTAATGACTAAGACATACTTGATTTGATTTTGGTTGTAGATAATATGATGGTGATGTAGCCCATTTAATTATATTACCCTGTACCACCAGTGCTTTCCTCTTATTTCAGTTTGGGACCTTGCTCCCCTTTCCCCTTAATATTCCCAAAATTAATCTTTGTGCCATGTGTGGAGTATATCACCTATGAAGGACTTTTGAATTTATAGAACTGAAGGATTACACCATACAGAATAGCCTTTGTAATGCTATAGGATTTCCTGGAAACTCTTAATTAAACATTATACGACAGCCTGATAGTGATGGATTTTAATTTCTTTAAATAATCCTACATAGCTGCTAAATAATCAGGCCACAGAGTTTGAAATTCAGCACCAGTGACTCATCTATCCCTTTTCATAGCACATTTCTAAGGAAATACAAAATTAATCTCAACCTAGATGTAGATTTTTTTGTTCAGTGACAGAATTTCCATATTGCCAGTATTTCCTTCTATCTCTCTTGCTAACTCAAATAGTCAAGACTTCAGAGTAAGGTGTCCAAAGCTGTATTTGAAGGTTCTTTTGGCCTTTATCTGGAAATCGCTAAGATTCTCATATTGACAGTCAAACCTTTTAGTTTCTTTTAACTCAAAATCACAGGTTATGCAAATAGCAAAATAACATTATCTAAAAAAGTGGGTTGTCTGGATTTCTCATTTCTTGCTACTAATCTAAACATCTATTGGCTTATGGATTTTTTTTTTTACCTGAGAGATGCTGACATATCTTTTTACCTACAGAATACCTACCATCTCCAGCAAAATGCTATTTAATTCAACTTTCTATTATTAATTCAAGTTTTGTCCACTAGATGAGCCAAATCTCTGATTGAATATTAGCTTCCACAAAATAGAACATGTATGTGTTAAGTATGATTGCTGATGCTGAATATTTAGTATTTCATTTAGGGATAATGTAATGTGTACCTAAATATGAAATTTAAATCTATGCTTACCTATGGAAGTTAGAGCCAAATTACCAAATAGTTATCATACCAACCACTGGTCAAATGCTTTCATTTTTCATTTGCCCACCCAGCCTCTGCCCACCATACAAATTCATTTTAGACATTGGAGGATAGTACTTATAAAATCTACATTCTTCCAGACAAAATTATAGTTTAGAAGTCTATAGGAATGACCCTGTGAAATTAAAATAATAAACTATGGGTTGCTTTCTTTTTTTCCTCTCCTGGAGTTTGTGATGGATTTCCCGATAGAAATTACGTAATAAAATTCCTGCCTTGTTCTGAGACTCCAGTTCAAAGGATGTGGAGTCATTATCAACTATAAGTGTTATAAGTATTTATTTTGGTCTTTGGCTGTTCAAGTTGGCTTACGTAGAAATTACCTGGTCAATATAAGATGTGACTGCTATTTGTGCTTAGATTATAATAGGCAAAGATGAAATTCAAGCTAAAGCATGGATAGTCTGTTTTGTTCTTTGATTCATCATTTGCTTATTTAAAAAAAAACTTTTATAGGTACAATCTTAGAAATTCTTAGGTTTTTCAAGTTTTCATTGTGTTTGAGAAAAGCAGGCTCTGAGGTCACAAAACCATACACAGCCCATTTTTTTATTATTTATGGTATTATATGGTATAGAAAAATGAAACACACTAATGATCCAAACATTTATTCATTATCATTTTAGCCAGTAGTTTCAGTCTTCCGACAAAGTAAGAGCTTAATATATGATTGTTGAGTTTAGGCTTTATTTTTTTTTCAAGTAGAAGAACATTTAATTAAAACACAATTTAATAGTAAACAAGGGAAAATTAAATTATAGAATCATTTTCTGCCATGCATCCCCCGCATCTACAGGAAGAGGTACAATGGGCTCTTACACCGGGGCAAGAGGAAGCACTTCCAGCAGGAGGGCTAGGCCACCTCTCACTTTGCTGCTTCTCTGCTGAACTACTGCTGCCATCTGCTGGAACTGTTTAGTTTTGTTAAAGCTGATGAAAAGTGTCAATAGACAATCACTTCACAAAACTTAAGTGAAAACTAGGTTTATTACAAGAGAAATGAACATGTATGTGGAACCCAAAGAGTTCACAATCCGTACAGAAGTTTGCACTTTTATAACAGCAGAACAAAGGAAGTAGGAGATACCAGAAATCTCCACCTAAAGGGGTGTGGCATGGGAAGGGAAAGGTAAAGGTGGGAAAAGGTCAAAACCCCTCCTGAAGGGGAGGAGTAAGGCAATGGCAAAAGCCGAATTCTTTTCCCTTGAAAACTGCTAGACTATTAAGATAGGATGGTCTACCTATCTGCAAGGGTCTCAGCTGCACAAGCAATTTCTCAGTCTAGTACAGATGGACTGGCATCTATCTTGATTCCCAAAGACACACAGGGAGTCCAGTTTGGGATGCAAACAACAAATTATGTCAGCTGCGGGGAGTTGGTCCTTGACAGATTCAGGGCCTTCTGCGTGCTCTGCGACCAGTGTTTCTGGAAAATATGGCAACTCAAAAAGACAAGTTTGGGGGACCCCTCAGCAGTCCTTACCAAAAGGAAAATGTTCTCTTTTGATCATAGGTAGAATGGACCTTAAACGTCAACCATTTCTCCTTTCCATATACACTGCAGTCCAGATAAGCTGGGCTTTTGCTTTTCCCCATGGCATTCCATCTCCCATCTCCGTGTCTTTGCACTGGCTCTCCCCAAAGTCTAAAACCTGCATTGCCTCCTGACCTCCATATCTCAGAATCCTAGTTTCCTTCAAGGCTCAACATGAGTACCACTTTCTACATGAAACCTTTCCTGATGCCCCTCCAGTTGCTAGTGTCTAACCCTCAGTATAATTTTTTATATATACCTTTTACTGTACATGCGTATTCTGTATCTCTGCTAGATAAATTTTAAGTCCCTTTGAGGGACTATTCTGTTTTTGTCTTTGTATCCCTTTTTTAATATGTTTTGTCTTTGCATACTTAGCACAGTTCCTGGTACATGGTAGGTGCTTAATAATTGCTTATTGATTGAGTGATTGATTTAACCCCCCCCCATCTTACATATGAGGAAATTGAGGGCCAAAGAAGTCAAGTGACCTGCCCAGAGCCACACAGTAGTAATAAGCAAAATAAGTAATAAGCAAATCAAGATTTGAACTAGATCTTCTGATTTGAAACCCAGTTCTCTTTCCAGAGAATTAATTTGGAAACTTTGGCTAGATTTGAAGTGGGGACCTTGGTTCAAATTCCAACTCTGTTACTACGTTTGTGACCTTGGTAAAGTTGCTTAACCTGGGCCTTAGTTTTATCATCCATAAAATGAAAGAGCTGGACTAGATGGCATAAATCCCATCCCATCTCTTAAGTGCACGATACAATGAGTTATGATCCCATAAGTGTATTCTGGGTGTCAGCCCTGCTGGGGAGTGTCTCTCCTAAGATTTTGGCTCATGCTCCCACCTAGGAAAAGCCCAAAGATATTCAGTATCTGTTTAATTTTGCTTTCCTTAATGGGCAAGAAATCCTTACAAGCCCTTAGGCCAAGACATCGGAAATAGTTATTTTTATTACAAAAAGATAGAAAGGAATGGTGAGGAACCCACAGAAACACTCAAGAAAATTCTCCCACTTGTCACCGGGACAATGGAAAACTCTTCGTCCCCAGCTCTTCTTGTGAACAGTCAAGAAGACTCTTCAGTTTCTTCTGATTTCGTTGTCTTTCTCCTGTTATCAGCTCCAACAGGCAGTGGGTATACACAAGGTGGATAACTAAAAAGAAGGAACGGAACAGCGACTCCCATTCATAGAGTGCTTTTTTAGGCTCATAAAGCTCTTTCAGAATGACAACCAAAGCCTTCTAGGCTCAGTTCCTGTATGTTTTAAACTGGTACTTTGGGTTATCTCTTCTGGGCCAAATTTCTCAGTTACTTTTCCGTCTTCATATGGAACGTGGTGAAGGAACATCTTTCTGGATGACAAATCCAGAGATCTACTCAAGAAAAATTTCCAGAATTTCCCCAGATCCTCAAATTCTATCGTTACCAGGCTCTTGTGAACTTTACAAAATAAGCCTGGCCTCTCACCTTGGTAGTTAACATAGAGGCAACCCATATTCACCTCTTTCTTAGGGTGAATTGGAAAAATGAATGCCTAAATTTTCCATTTTTTGGAGGCTGGTAACTGTTAAATTTGGTTAGGTAAATCTTAGAACATCTTACACTTTAAAATGTTTGTGAATTAGTCAGTTTGTTGTTGTTCAGTCATTTTGGTCATGTCCAACTCTTTATGACCCCATTTGGGGTTTTCTTGGCAAAAATACCGGAGTGATTTGGCATTTCATTCTCCAGCTCATTTTACACATGAAGAAACTGAAGCAAATAAGGTTAAAGTGACTTGTGCAGGGTTACACAGCTAGTAAATATCTGAGGCCAGATTTAAACTCAGGTCCTCCTGATTCCAGGCCCAGCACTCTATCCACTATGTCACCTAGCTGCCCCAATTAGTCATTTACTCTGAGTCTTTAAGTAGACAGACAAATAATTATTTATGCCATAAAAAGTAATTATCCTTTACAGTGGAACTATAGATAGGACTTAAGAATTTGATACAAATTATTTCCTTTTTACCAGATGCCTTTAGCCTGTGCCATATACATACATATATACATACATACACACATATTTAAATCCCTATTTGGCTTCCATACTTTAAAAATACTTTTTGTTCTATATAGTACACACATAAGTTTCGAGGAATTGTTGGTGGAGAAGATTCACTTTATTTTTAACCTTTCTAACAAACCAGGAGATTTCCTCTGGAAGATATCCCACAGGATGAAAAGGAAGCAGCAAAATGGCTTCATAAACTTTATCAGGAGAAGGTAAAGAATTTTTTTTTTCCTGGAACAAAAGTCTTTAAAATAGAATGTCTAGGGTAGGCCTTAAGGCCACATGTGACCTTCTAAATCCTTAAGTGTGGCCTTTTGACTGAATCCAAATTTTAGTTCTGTAAAATTCGGATTCAATCTAAAGGCTACACTTAAGGATTTACAAGGCCACAGGTTCCCCACCCCTGGTCTACGAAGAAATGAATTTTAAAGGGTAAATAATTGAAATGTTCTTTCCTGGGAGATGTAGGAATACTGTTTCATAATCAAATGGTTCTTTCTGATTTGTCATAGATGTCATAGACTCCAAACTTGGAGTCTAGTCTTCAACCCTGCTTTATTATGGCATTAAGATTAGCTCTTCTGAAGTAACTGGTGTCATTTGGGGAAATTTGGAAAGCCTTTTTTTATTTTTAAAACTAAAATATGATTCATTTCTCTTCATTCTTCCTTCACCTCTGTTAGAATTTCAACCTTTTAACTTAAGACTCTGGTACTACAGTACTGCAAAGTAGTGATAGTTTGAAAAGTCTTTGTGTTCGTTGATGTGGCTACACCCTCCATGTTATATACCATTTCCACTTTTTTATCCTATATAGCTCTTATCCACATCCTCCTGTAAATATGATTCTAAGTAGTTTGCAGATACCAGTGGAACACAGGGGCTGATCTTTTTATTCCTTACTCTCATTTTAAAGCAGCCTGCTTTATATTCCATTCTCCATAAAAGTTCTCCAGTGACTCACTAGAGGTGACTCTGGATTCTCAAAAAATATGCCTACAGAGGATGTAGTAGGTTTTACTATCCTGGAAAAACTTCAGATAAACTCCTGGTGACAGGTTTAAGACTTTGGACCCTATTCAGATGTCCATATCTTTGAGAGAGTTAAGGCAAAATCAGTCATAGATCACACACTGGACTCTTATAGATGGAAAAGTCATTAGAGTCATTTAATCTCTCTCCTTATTTTACAAATGAAGAAACTGAGGCCAAGAGATAGTAAACACTTTGCCCAAGGTCATATAGGTATTATTTCCAGAGATGGAACTAGAGCTGAGTTCCTTCTAACTCCTAATTCAATGCTTGCTTTTCCATGTTATGAATGAAGAATCTGAGATTGGGTTTTAGTCAATGGAGGAAGGGAAGAGAGTATATGGGCACTGTGGGATGGGAATGGGACTCCGGGTTCTTGAAGAGGGTGAAATGGATGCCAAAGATTGGCCTGCATTAATATCATATATGAATGAGTGATTTTTTATATATTCTAAGAAAGAGGGCTTACAATATTCCAGAATAAGTTAAGCGTTTGAGAGTCAGAACAGGACTGCAATGAAAATCCCAGAGGCATGGTTTTTAAAGACCAAAGTTAAAATCCGGCCTTAGATACTTACTAGCCGTGTGACCCATAGCAAACACTTAACCTCTATCTGCCTCAGTTTCTTCATCTGTAAAATAGGGATAATAAAAGCACCTACCTCTCAGGGTTATGGGGGATCAATGACATGATATTTATTAAGTATTTTGCAAGCCTTAAAGCATTTGATAAATGCTGGTGGCTGTTATTACTGTGATTATTAATAAAATAATGTTTAAAACATTGTGGGATTTGGAAGGAACGATAGAAAAGGAGGTTGACTGCCTTCACCCAAAGTAGGGAAAAATGAAGATATGTTGTTGAAAATGGTTTGTGTTTGGGGATGTTGGGAGTAGGGTTTTTTATATGATTTTTATACGTGATGGAGTAGTCATTCCATTGTGAAGATTAAACTATAAAAAATATCTGTGGTCACAACATAATTCCCACAGGGGACATATCCACAATGAGCATTTTTTCACTCTCAATACTTGTGACATGTTGAATATTAGTGATTCTAGGATACCACTTTTTATGTTCTTCTCTTGTCAGACTTTTTAGCTGCATTAAAAAAAATTCACATACCCAACACATGACAAAATACGTGAATATTTATAATAGTCAAATAATTATTAAAAAACCAACCTGTTATTTATCTATATATAAGGATGGACATTTCTTCCCCTGATGCTTAGGTGTTTTTATCATTTTATCTTCCAAGCATACTAGAGCAAACTAGTGTTTTGGGATTTGTGCTCTAAATGTTTTCTAAATGCTTATTTTATTAAGTTCAGAGCTTCACTTGGAATGAGTCATTTTTCTTTGCCAATGTTTGGCTGTCATATTTAGAGGATGGACTTTAAAAGAACCCTGTTTATTTCTTAACTTGCAGGATGCTTTACAAGAGCTATACAATCAGAAAGGTGTGTTTCCAGGGGAGCAGATTAAACCCACCAGAAGACCATGGACTCTCTTGAATTTCCTCGCATGGGCAACTATCCTTCTATCTCCTCTCTTCAGTTTTGCATTTGGTGTTTTTGCAAGTGGATCACCCCTTCTGATACTTACATTCTTAGGATTCGTTGGAGCAGGTAATAAAAGATAAGGAAAAGATGGGTCAAATGTGAAGATAATTAGTTGGAAATGACTTTACATGGCCACTCAAAGTTTGTTGTAATCTGTCATTGGAAATGGAAATTCCATTGTAGTGACTGAAGCTTTTGTAATCAAGACGTTGAAAAAGTAAAGGAAGAGATGTGTGTGTGTGTGTGTGTGTGTTTTGTGTGTGTGTGTGTGTGTGTGTTGTATGTGTGTATGTATGTATTCAAATACAAATCCTTTGAAAAATTAAAAAAATTCATAAGTTCCTTGTAGGCTTGTGTTTTTCTATTTTAAAATTTTAATTAAATAAGCCACTATTCAAACCTAGTTACTTAATAGGGTTGGAGTAATAGTCTGGAAATCGAGCAGTTCCATGTTGAATTTTCCCTTATGTGTTCCCTTGATGAAAGATATGCATCCCTGGGGTAATCAATCTTAATGTCTTTCCCATGTCATAAACCAGCCTGGTACATAAAATAACTTGTTCAGTTTCTCTCTGGCTCTCTCAGCTCCTTTTCTACCTCTGTTCGGCTCACTGTCAGCTAGAAAGAGAAACAGGAAACTAATGAGGGAGGGTGTGAGGGAGATACATAGGTTGGCAATGAAAACTACTAACTGATATGTCTGACAGTTCTGTTGGACCATGTGTTTCAGGGCCATGATCCTTTTACTCTGTCCATTCTTTTAATAGGTACCAAGTGAAATTACAGGCCTAAATTCAGGGATTGCTTTGTAGTCACTCATGAATGAGTTTGTTGCCTTATTAATGTACGTGAGTGTCTGACAGTATGGGGCAAAATAATCTGATTGTTTCCTTTTTTCTTTATCTTTTTTTTTAGCTTCCTTTGGAGTCCGTAGACTGATAGGAGTAACTGAAATAGAGAAAGGTTCTAGCTATGGAAACCAAGAATTCAAGAAAAAGGAATAATTAATTGCTACAGATTGAACACATGTAACCAGATGGTGTGGTATCAAATTAACTTAATTAAAAACAAAACAGCAGAAAAAAAAACACTTAGAAACTATCTTTTTTCTTATTAACTGGTGACTAATATTAATAAATAAAACTTGAGCCAAGAGTGAAGAAATTGGAAAGATTGACAGAAGAAGAACATCAACTTTCTGCCTGTGTTCACAGTGTAAGGATCTCAGTGTAATTCAGACTTTGGAAGAATATCTGAGCTTAAAAAACTGGTAATATTTTACTTTGTTGATGGGAAAGGTGGCGTCAGGGGATTTGAATTCTCCAAATGACTACTCTCACAAGTATGTGGTTTTTTTTAAGAAGCCTGTGCTTATAGAAGGAAGTTTGTTGGATGTTTTCTCTTAAAGCTAAGGTGGTTCTTTAAAGAAAGAAAAAGAAAAGAAAGGGGTGGGGGTGGGGGGGCAGCATTCCAGCAAGTTTTCCTGCTCTCTCTTCCTCCTTTGATCCTCAACAAGCTTTTCTCCAGAGGGAGGGAAAAAGTACTTTTTAAAGTGAATCAACAGCTCTTCCTTCAGTGAAGTTTTGAATAAAGGATCATGGGAACAGAGAGTACCTGGCCTCTTCTGCTCTGATTTTCAGGTAGTACTTGGCAGCTTCTGTACTATGGAAGGCACCTATGAAGAAATATCTCTCCTAGTGATATAAGCACATATTGATGGATTGAAACTGAGTAGAGTTTTTTTTTTCTTTCCACTTGTCTTAGTTTAATGCCTTTATTTTCTAGAGCTAATGTTTGCCCCATTTTCTAAATGCAGAAATGCATTTTCTAAATACTTATTCATAGATAATGGTGTTTTTGAAGCAAGGTAACCCTAGGAACTATATCTATGAAAAGAGAATTATTTACTCCGTAGTTTTGCAGCCCTTTTTTCCATTTCTCTGTTTGTTACTACTAGAATCCCATTTTTCTCTACCATTGTACCCAGGAGTTGCTACATTGCATGGATTTCCTTTTTCAATCAGTAAGCATCATGAAGCACCTTAATTACTTTTCCTCTCTGTTGTACAGTCTAAGGAATAGCACATCTACAGAGATTTTCTATTATGTGCAATGGAGGCATTCTTTTTTCCTTATATCAAATCTATAGGATGCCCTTTCAGTAGTTAGGCCCCGTTGAGCCCCTTTCTGTCATAGGTAGATGGAGATACTGAAGACTGGTTGTTGTTTTTTTTCCCAAGGTTTTTACTTTTAACATAAGAAACAAATGAAAATGTTTATGAATTTTGATTTATTGCTGAAAATAGAAGGCAAAGAATTTGGCTTTTTAAATTTATTCTTTTCATTCACCCATGCCCCAAACAAGTAGGACATGTTATGTTCCTGGAGGCAGACCCTCATTGTATTTAGGTAGGGTAGTCTTAATACACTATGAGTGAATAAATGCAGATTTCTTTGTAGCATTGAAGAAATCTTGTCTAAACCCAAGTTAAACCTTTATCCCAGTTGCATAAAAATTAGAATCCTTAATGTTCTAATTGGTGTTGAAGGATAATAATGAAATATTTTACTTTTTTCTGTATAATCTCAAGTCATATTATTTCCCCAAAGTATTTACTTTAACTTGTGGCATTAGGTAAAGATTTTAGGACTTTTAGGTAAACTGTTCCTCATTGGAATTGTTTATTTTACCACCTAGCCCTAAAATATGAAGTCTCATGGGGGTGGCAGGGGAGAAATTATCTCAGAATAGTATATCTCACTCTTCCAGCTAATCCATTCCTCCCTAGCTAAGCACTGTGTTACCAGTCCTGCCTTTATTTACCTTTTTTTCTCATATTTTCTAGTCACCTTTTCTTAGATATTGTTAACATTCTCTATCACCTTCTAAGGGGAAAAAAGAGGTGTTTCTTTTGATATTTTCAAACCAGAATTCAAAACGGATTGAATTTTCTGTGAAAGCAGAAGGTAGAAGGAGAGAGAAAATTAAAGCAAACTGATAAAACAATTATGTATTGGCCAATGCTGTGTGTTAGGAAGATGTTAGTGAGGTCATATATTTTCTTTATGAAGAAGATATTAAACCTATTTATATTCTTTTGGTAACTTCAATAGAAGGAGGCAGATGTAGTAAAGGTTCTTGCCAACTACATTTTAATCTTATTCACAAGCTGTGGTTTTTTTGGAACAAATTTTTTGTTGAGGTGAAGGGGGAAAAATTAACTCTTTTTCTTCTATGCTCCTCTTCCTTAGCATATTTCTCCCTTATTTTTCCTCTCAACTAAACTGGCAGTACAGTATTGTGAAGAAATATAAACTACTTTGAGTTTTTTAGATTTTCTTTTCATGATACACTGTTTCTGTGTGAATGTATTTAAGATCTTTATATTATCATTTGCTAATTCTACCCTTCTAAATAGTTATATCTGGAAAGTTTCAAAGAAAAAGATAACACTAAAAAATTCAACCATGTAGAATATATTACACAAGGAAAAAAGCAACATGGTATTTTTTCTATTTAATTGATATTTCTCATTTCCCAGTTAGATTTTTCCCTTTTACATTAAAATACTATGTGTAAATTGACATTGATTCAGTAAATGAATAATGAAGATTAGGAGCTTGGATTGACAATTGAAACAGTGGGCATAGATTTTTATATCTTACACTATTTTCTTCTTATTTAATAAAACATGGCTTGTATATTGGACTACCAAGCCCTCTAAAAGCAATAATAAACAATATCATGAACTATTTTTTTTAGTCTTTACTTTTCATCCATGGGTTTTCAGGGTTTATTTTGTGTAGTTTTAAAATAAAATTAATCATTGTTAGGACAATGGGGCAGCTCCAATACCCTACTTCTTTCCTTTTCCTGATTTCTTTATATTTCTACTGCTAATGCTTCAGTGATTATTGGTGGTGTTTATATGAAGATTTGGTCTTTACTTGTGTGTCTAGAACAAAGGTTCTCAACATAGGGTCTGTGAGCCTGTTTAAAAAAAAATTGATTACTATATTTCAATATAATTAGTTTCCTTTGTAATCTTATATATTTCATTTTATTTTATACACAAAAACATTATTCTGAGAAGAGGTCCATGACACAAAAAAGGATAAGAGCTCCTAGTCTACAGGAGAGCTTCTCCAGTTTCCATAGTTTTTTGCTCACACTTTCAGGTAAGAATCAGGACTTTAATCTGAAAAACCTCTGAGCTTCCACTTCAGGCCCAGGCATCCTCTGTGATGATCAGAGCACAAACACATTTCTATCATCTTCTATGGCTAAACTAGGCACCTGGCTAATTAAAGGACAAAAGCAGAGTGCTCTGCAATTAGGATCCTGGACTGGTATCTTGAGTTTGCTGAACAGTCACTTCTCAGCAATGTGGCTCTTGATGTTTGTATACTGTGTGTATACGTGTAGCCAGCTCAGAGAACACAGACCTAGTCTGCCCTTTGTTTTTCTCTAGCTTATCTCAGAGGCTTCCTGTTGCCTTTGCTCCAGTTCTCTCTCCCCACCTGATTTTCACAAGGTCGTGGTTATACAATGTTATTGCCATCAACGTCATCTTGCCCAAACCCTTGACTTAACAGGTGAGGAAACTAATGCCCAAGAAGGTGAAATACCCACCTACAGCCACACAGCAAGTAAGTAACAAAACCAGATTCAAAACCTAGCTCTCCAAAATCCTAGCCCAGTGTTTTTCTCACTATACCATGCTGAAGTGTATGGACATTATGCTTTACACAATAGTGCCCTAACATCATTGTTGTGCTCAGTTTGCTTGTGGTAGTGTTTGAAGACTATTCCATTTGGATTTACCTCAGAGGGGTTTCAGGGGCTTTCCAAGTTATCTGTTGTAACAATGTATTTTTGTTGTTGGTACTACAAACGTGTGTAAATTTTGTGTTAATCCTTTGGACAATTCTTTTTTGTTGTTGCTGAATGTATAATTAGCAAGAACTGGAGGCAATGTATGTGAATGAAGATATTTTGTGGGAATATAGCTTAGCTATTGTAGAAAGAAGAATGTTTCCATAGGAAAGGGTTGTCATAAAGTTGAGAATGCTATCTTTTTAAGCCTCCCTTTTCCTGAGAGATGGCCTTGGGAAAGGCTCAAAACAGATAAGGCCAAGCCAGTTGTCTTGAATTTGTAATGCTAGTGAAAAATTAAATGACTATCAGTTATGGATTTAATGAGAGCTTCCCTATTTTGTGCCAGACACTGTGCTAGCTGCTTGAGGAGACAAAAAGAAATACATATAAGACGTGATCCTTTCCTTTAAAATACTTGTAATCTAGTTGGGAAGATATGGCATAAATATATGAAAAGTTAAATAACAATACCAAAGTATAAGAGATGTTACAAGTCTATACATAGGCCATATTATTGCCAACTAGATTGAGGGATTGAAAGCTAATAACTTTTTTTAAATACTCTTTTGTGTTTCCAGTTGAGACAGGTCAAAATTTATCCTCTCCAATCCAGCTAAGCTTCATACAAACTACCCAGCTTGGTGTATAAATCCACTCTATGGATTTCTAAAAATAGCTAAAACATTTTCAGGGGAAGGTTTTCTCTGTTATATACCAATTAGTGTTAATGAGAGTGTGTTATGTCTAAATATTGCCATGTGAACAGGACCTTGGCTTGAAGGCTCTTAGGAACAAGTATTAAGCATTTTCCATTCCTTTCTCTCACCTTTCTCACAGTGGCAAATAATTGGATGGATTACATGCCTCTTCTCCAGTAACATCATGTACAAAATGTCCCTTAGGTTATGACATTCCAGACCTAGAACAGGGCATAACGTGGACTTCCTCAGCCCTGTGACTGACACATGACTTCTAATCATAGGCAGATTATGTCATGAGACATAAGTCACAATTTCATCTCTTAAAGCTGTCATAATAGGCTCAAAAGGGTGGGAATATATGCCATTTTTGTTCCTGAAGTCCCATGATAGGAGATAATCCATAATTATACATTTGTAAGAATATACTTTTTATTTTTTAAAATTTTCACAACTATAAACTTTCAGTTGTTGGAAAGAAGATTGGAAATAATGGAGTAGATCACTTTTTATGCATAATTTAGAAAGAGAAATGGTATGATTCTTAGTAACTGCTCAGGTAGTGGGAAGAAAATATTGAACACTTTGGAGTTGAGGTCTAAGAAATGAAAGACAATTAGGAATTGGAACAGGATAAAACAAACAAACACCTCACAAGTCAGGGTTATGTTTTTCAGTTTTGTAAAGGTCTAATCCACTCAGATTTTGTTTTGTTTTTGACATATCTGACTTATTGATTTCTTTATTAACTTTGTCTTGCAGAAAGATTTATTTAATCGGTAGGCTAATTATGAATGTGGTATTGAAATGCACTAAATTGTATTAAACTGAACTAGGATCAGTTATTGCAATGGAGAAATGTCACTGATCCTTATACTATTTTTAGCATTTCAAAATTGTAAGTTGTGACAATCAAATGTTGCTTGCCTAAGTGCCAGGGAATTCAAATGATTTTTTTTAACACCAAGATTGCTAAAAAAAAAAATGTTGTATAATTGTAAATGAAAATATTTATTTTTTGAAAAGCTATGCCATTAATCTGAATCTTTTAACAAACTTTTGTGGGTTTTTTTTCCTCATACTATTGTTGATCTACCATAATTTTACTGTTGGGCAATTCAAAAAGGAGATAACACTGTATACAGGGTAAAAATGTATCATATGTATATGTCCTTTTTGTGATCCTCATTTTTAAAATTTTGCTACTTACACAGCTTTATGTAGTTTAGGACAATAATGTATTTATAGAGAAGACAGTTGAAGGGGAAAAGCTCATAATAGATTCTGAAAACCGATATCCCAAACTTGTCTGGCTTTTCATGTGTTAAATGTCATTTATAAATTTAAATCTGCCTAGTTGGTGGTCACTACCTGCTGAATTTTCAAAATACAAATGATGTAGGAGTCACACTTGCTTAAGAAAATTACTGTGAAAAAGCATGATAATATAGCAAATATTAACGATTTCGCATTTGCGCAGGGCAGTGAGTTTTAGAGTCACTGGTGTGGACTAAGCATTTTCTTTAATCCTCACAACCTCTCAGACCTCTCCAAAGTAAGAATCGTATGCAAGAGGTAAAGTAATTACAGCTGTCTCCATGGTCTACAACACCAAGAACCATGATGAGGTAGCAGCCTGTCACCTCAAACAGCGGAGAGGGCTATTCCCTTACCTGTTACACCCTCAGAGCCCTCTTCCCCACCAGCTCCCATGCTCTGGCAGAACTTCGAGGCTTGTACCCTGGGATCCACTTGGCAGTTGCCTTACTGCTGCTGCAGTTTCTGACAGCTACTCCTTCCCATTTGCCCTTATCCCACTGCTCTGAGTTAACAAGCAATAGATCTCAACTCTGTCCCAACTCACTGTGCAGAGGAGGTGGAGGTACAGGAAAGTGTAAGCTTACTCTGTGACAGCAGCATGCTTACAGCAATGGTCAGCTAAAGAACTAAGAAACAGGAAATTGGATCAGGGCACCTGTGGGGGGGGTAGGGACTCCACTAAACCTGAAAGAAAGGGATTGGTATCCAACTAAGCCCAGTTCTGTCGCCCTGGAAGATCATTGGGGCAGACACTGAGGCTGATGAAAAGTGAATTCCCTTTCACGGGAGGAGGCCGAGACAGCTTTCATTGAACTGTATTGAGATTTGTTATCAAAGAAGGACTCAGAAAGTGAACAAGAAAGGAATATGAGAGGAAAAAAAGACTGAAATTGTCAAAGGTCTCAGGAGGAAGAAAGCTCAGTTAAAAACCCCGATAAACCAGCAAGGAATATCTTATTAATGGAAGGGAAGATGGTCTCCAGATCATCAACACTAGCACAAACATCAGTCAGTAAGTATTGCAAAAGAAAATTTATCAATACCTAAGAAGACAGAGGACCCTGTGGATTCTCAAGAGAGCATGGAACTGTAGCAGGATGTTCCCAAGTGGTTCAAGAGAGAAGCAAGAACTGTGAGAATAGACACAATACAAATTGTGAAAGTGTCTAAGAGAAAAACTTTCAAATATCAAGGAAAGAAAATTTGAATAATACAAGACTATTCTGCATCCACCAGAAAAAAATAGAATGTGTTACAAAGAGCAAAAGAGTTTTAGAGGCAAACCAAAGTAATATATATATATATATATACCCTACAAATCTGAGCCTAATCATCAATGAAAAAGGATGGATGTTCAATTTAAAAGAGGCATTTGAAGAATCCCTACAGAGAAAACCAGACCTATGTCAACTACTTGCTTTGCCAATACTCCAGACAACAAAAATATAGGAAAGGTAAATATAGCAATCAAGAAAGGCACAAGTAACAAAATAAATTACCCACAGGGGAAAAAAAAACCTAGAAAGACATGTCTGATGTTAAAAAACAATAGCAGAGTGATTGTTAAGAGATTGCTTTCTAAAAGTACGTAAGGAGACAAGGGTAGAAGCAAAATGAAATAGAAGTGATGGTTGAAGAACAGGTCTGAAACCATGGACTAAACCACAACAACTTACCTACAGGCGAATCAACAATTTTTGTGGGATTAAACTGCAGAAAGGGAGGATAGACATAAAAGGATAGAGGGGAAAAATAAGATAGAAGGGAATCTATGTTGTATCCTAATGAAGTCAATGGTAAACAATGAAGGGAAAATAGCTCTTACAATCTCTTATGAAGAAGAGGGCTTACAGGAGAATGAGTGAGGTGGCAAAGCAAGGGATTGAAACAAATGGGGAAAAGGGAAATCTCAATTCAGTGGTGAAAGGGGGACTCACTAAAAAATACTCCTATGAGGAATATTCTACAATGGGAGATGGGGACTTTACATTGGGTATAATCAGTTTAGCACTGTGCTAGGCACAAGGATTTGGTGCTTAGATCTGATAATGTGCTTCCATGTACAGCATCATGCTTCAGAAAAAGGGAATTGAGGCTCTGAATCAGGGTAGCTGACATACAGAATGGTGGGAGAGCATGGACCCAGAGAGAATTCATGGCACATGGGGGGAGATAAACTTGGGGTCAACAAGAGGTAAATCTAACAATATAAGTTAAATAATGAGACTAACAAAAGAGGAAATAGAATACTTAAATGACCCTATCTTAGAAAAAGAAATTGAACAAGCCATCAGTGAGCTCCCTAAGAAAAAATCTCCAGGACCATATGGATTCACAAGTAAATTCTACTGTCTAAGGAACAATCAATCCCAAAACTATATAAGCTATTTGAAAAAAAGAGGTAAAAAAAAATTTCTAGCCTGGGGCAATGCTTCTATCCTTCCTATTAGAAATTGCTACTTCTAGGAATGAGGCACAATAGAAACAAAAGGGGGTGGGGGGGGCAAGATCTGTAAGACAATAAAATGTTAGAAGGAACTCAAAATAGGTGTATTAGAAGCTTTCATTTTATGAAGAATACAGAGACTGAAAAAAATAAGTAAAAGGATGAATCAAAGAATAAAAGTCTAGAACAGGAGAGAATGAGGGAAGGAAATCCATTTTAGAAAAAGGTACAGAAAATGAGGAGGGGAGTTTTACTTGACTATATAACTGAGAAGAGGAAAAGGAGGGAAATATTAGATAACTAGATGAGAGAAAGGATTTAATAAGTTAGATAAAATTCTAAAACTAGAAAAAGGGGTAACAAAGGGTTGGGGTTAAGGGGAAGGGGAAGAGAACCTAAAATAATAGGGTTGCCTTCAAGTAGATTAAGCAAAAATAACTGAAAAGACAAAGTACTATCTTTACCAAAGAAGAGGAACAACATCCCTCCAAAAATACTAATTCAGAAAAAAATGGTTTATGCTTGCCCAGGTGAATCTGAGAATAGAGTTTCTGGACCTCCAATTCTTGGCATCCTTTTGCTCTTCTGTTTCCTTTTCAAAGCACAAGCCAAATAGCAATCTTGAGAACTGATATTTTCAAACTTGGGGTACCTTGTGCATGTCTTGCGGGTGATTTTGAATTCAAATCAGCATTATTCTCCTAAAGAGATATAGCTAGTGAGTATTTGAACTTGGATCTTCCTGATTCACTGCACCACACAGCTGCCCAATAAAATTCTGGCATTTATATAGCTGTGTAAGCTTTATAGTGTGCTTCACAGAGGTTAACTCAGTTGATCTTCATGATGAAGTGGGTACTGTATCCTCATTTGTTGCATCCCTCTTTTTTTATGCTCAGGGTCATACAGCTAAGTTTATGAGGGAAAATCTAAACTCAGTTCTTCAGGACTCCAAGCCCAGTGTTCTGTCCGTGGCACCACCCAGTTGCCCTAGGGCTAGAAGTATAAATAGAAGAACCATTTACATGTAAATAATAATTAAACCCATGTTAACTGATGAGAACAACAGAAGAGGGGTCAAAAAAGAGTCTTGGGGTATACCCATATCTAGAAGACAGAGTACAGGTGATGATCTAGCAGAGGAGAGTAGTAGGAGAACCAAGAGAGCACTCTTTTTTTTTTTTTTCATTTCTCATACACATATAAGAGAGAAAGAGGGAGAGGGAAGGAGGTTGGGGGGGGGGGAAGAGAGAGAATCCAGGAGAGGGTGGTAAATAATGTCAAATGCTGTTCAAATCTGACCTCAGACACTTGACACTTACTAGCTGTGTGACCCTGGGCAAGTCACTTAACCCTGATTGCCTTACCAAAAAAAAAAAAAAATGTCAAATGCTTTAGAAGTTCAAGATGTGTATACACACACACACACACACACACACACACACACACACGTCTTTATAAAGTAGAAAAATATCCCTCACTTGTAATGGAAGAGGCAATTGCCATTGACTATTTGAGGCCTGACCACCCCCACTCCCTGCCCCAATTACCTTTAGAAATCTAGCTTACAGGGTTGCCTAGGTGGTACAGTGGATAGAGCTGTGGCCCTGGAGTCAGGAGGACCTGAGTTCAAATTTGGCCTCAGACACATAACACTTACTAGCTGTGTGACCCTGGGCAAGTCACTTAACCCCATTGCCTAGGCCAAAAAGAAAAAGAAAAAATCTAGCTTGCCAGTTTTGCAGTTAATCTATACAGGATCCAGCAGCTAAGGAAGAACCCAGACCTTGAGGAGGATTCACTCTACCCCTATCATCCATGGCACCTTGCAACAAATTTACTTGCCCAATAGGAGACATAATTAAGATATACACAATAGAGACAGGGACACGCTCTATATATAAATAAAGAGAGGGGTAGCATTCCAGGCAGGAAGCAGCTGCAGGGAGTGAAACCTCTGCCAACAAACTGGATTGAAGAGAGAAATTACCCTGGTAGTTAAGAATCAAGCTATGGAAAGGCACGGACCCAAGGAGCTCAGTTGGGTGAGCTATCCAGTAGACTCTTTCTCTAAGGGAAAGCAGTGTGTGGACTCCACAAGAAGAGGAAGGACATTTGGGTTCTGCAGTATTGGAGGAGTGAGTATTCCAAGTATGTGCCCTTCCCATTGCTGCTATGTGTATTTGTGGGGAAGTGTACTCCAGGCTTATTCAGGGAGTTATTTTGTAGCTATTGTTCTTACTATGTCATTCTTAGTAAATGTTTGTTTGTTGAGCTAATTATATCTACCACCAGACTCTTAAAGGTAAGTTCATCATGGAGGTTGGTGGTGTCATGGACTGTAATTTTAGGCAGAGCCAAGTTGGTGGAGTGAAGGAACATTAACCCAAGCTCTCCCAACATTTCCCTCCAAACAACTTTAAAATAACACCTCAGATTGAATTCTGGAGTGTCAGAGCTAACAAAAGGTCAGAGTAAGATATTCTTCCAGCCCGAGACAGCAGAGGAGGTCAGAAAGAGAGATCTGTGACATGGGGGTGGATGCCAGCCTGGAACCGTTGTGGATGAAACTCCCATGGCAG